TCTTTAATTAATGATTAAAAATAAGAACAACTTACAGATAGAAAGCTATATATATATAATGTAATGTTCCAATTTCTTTTAGGATGCTTGCGAAAGTGTGACTCAAATTACTTTTGACCCATTGATTATTTGATTATTCTTAGTTTTTCTTTCTTAATTTCTTGCCCCTCGTTTAATCGCAAAATTGAGGACTAAGAGCGTAGACTTAATTAGTTTCTTTTCTAAATGCATTTGATATTTGCGAACACATACAAGTAAAGAAACTAAAACTATACTCGCTTTTTGGTGGGCTAATGTAATCTGCATTGATGCATACATGTAAGAATCGCAATCTGTTGGATTAATTGAAAGCTGATCGAATCATATTGGCTCATAATTACATCTGCATTAACTGCGCTTAATTAGAAGCGCGTAGGGACATTGGGATTTATCTCACGAAGTAATGTGGGCGAATCAATAGTACCATTCATTCACTTAGTTAAAACTTAGTTAAGAAGGGAACATCAAGAACAAATCCACGTTTCTTAAGTGATGGTGAGGGTAACAGAAATAACCTATTTTCATAGGGAGGCAAAGCGACAAGCGGCAAAGAGCAGGCGTTGCTTTTGAACAGATTATATTCTCCTCCCTCTAGGGAGGAGTACACACAACAGAAACATGCTCAAGTGTTGATCTGGTCAAGCTCATTATAACCTTTTCTTAATGTAAGAATGGTTAAGCTCTTTGGACCACCTCTTAACGACACCTAGCACGGATTCAGCTTTACTTAAACGCAATGAGCAAATTAAAATGTAACCATTGATTAAATTGAACCCCTACATCGATGCACGAATCTACATTTTCCAACTTGTCTAAATCGATGAAATACCCAGTATTGAATGACTTCCTCCTTGAGAAAGAAAGTTTTTGCATTCTTTTAGATTTAATTTCATAAAATTTAACGAACACCAGCTGATACTATTGCGATTCCAACGAGGAGGAAGAAAACAGTTTAACATCGTCAGCGTACTTTAAAATATGGCTTGATTTAATCCCCGAAGAGAGACCACTGATGTGTAGAACGAATAAAAAGGGCCCTAAGTGGCTGCCTTCAGGGCAGACGTTACGGGAAATTCATCCGAGATGATGAAATTAAACTGAATGCTCTGTTATTAGGAAAGGCAGAGGGAGGGCGGGAATTTGAAGATCAACAAGTTATGGTAGGTCAAACTTTTTACTAAAATCAGTATCTACGACTTCCATGCGAGAATCACTGGAAAAAGCCTTGAAAAGAAGACAAGTAAACTCTAAGAAATTCGTAATAGTTGATCTTCCTTCCAGAAAACCATGTTTTGAATGGAAAAATATACGTACAGTAAACTATAAGAGATTCCTAGCAGTTGACATTCAGAAAGCTTTGCTGGAATGGATAATTATAGTACTCGATAGCAAAAGCTAAATGTTGAGAAACAATTCGCCCAAGCAATTTAGAGAAGATACTCAATTTGGCAATGCCTCTATAGTTCTCAACGTGATGTCTAATTCCACATTTGTGAAGCGGAATAAGGAAACTACTTTTACAACACAAGGGGAAAATACCTGATGTCAGGGAGATATTAAAGATTTATGGAATAACACCACATCAACTTGTTAGGCGCAGACGCACAACGATATTTTAGAGACCTCAAACCATGGCCAAGTTAGAAATCGAAACCGAGTTAGTGATCAGATACGGATAGTTAACAGTCAAATCGGAATCAGCAGTTCAAAAAAGAAGAAGAGATATGAGGTTTCAATAGCGTAATAGTATACGGTCCCATCGAAAGAAACTTGCGAGGGATATATGGACATTTTTCTTTTGGTGTTTGCAAGCGTATAACAATATTTAGGATTAACAAGCAGTGAGCATTTCATCAACTGAAGGTATCTGCAATAACATTGATGGTTTAGGTAATTAAGTCTATGCCTTCTTCGCAGTAGAATAGGCGAAATAGTCATAAGCAGAATTACCGTTCACAAATTTTTTGAAAAGTTTGTTTTTATAATAAATAAATAGCTAGATCTAATACATTCCGGAGCGAAAGGAGTAGTAGGGACAAGCAGCAAAATCGAGCATAACGTATGAAAGATGAAATTTAAGCAGTAAAATATCGGTTTTGTTAAAATCATAAGGTTTGTTGGAGGGAGCTGGATTTGGCACTTTAGAGGTCAACGGATCATTATGCCTGTAAAGAACACATACTGGATGATACTGTTGCAGAAATCCCAAATCCTGTGCATTCTAGCTAATCCCTAAAGAGGGAAAAACCAAATGCACATTCGCAGCGCCTCATGAAGGTGCCAGCCGAGGAAAACGAGTACCAGAAAAGCATAATAACGAATTAAAAATGAAGCTATGAAATTAGGTACTACTAATATGATGGTACAAAAGTATATAAATAGAATATTTGTGGAGGGGAGAGTAGTAGAAGGAGAATATTTAAGTTGAGCAGTTGAAGGTATTGCCAAAATAAATTGTGAATAATCCTACATTGAAGGAATATAATTGTAAATAAAAGAACTTTGAAGTGTATTTCTCTTGAACAAAATATCCACGATCCAGCGATACGGACTGTATTCTAGAAAAGCGAATTTTATAACAATATGAATCCTCAGGTAAACTAAAAGTTGGATAGCGATTTACAATTATCTCTGGAAAATCGGCAAAGCGAAGATCTAGTAGCTTAAGATTACAATTAGGAGTACAGTTGTATTGAAGCAGATATCGATCAGATAATTTATTGAAAAAGACAATGGCTTTTATCCGATGTTGAAGGGGGGGGAGCGTACATCCAGAAGTATAACGGTAACACCAAATGACTTGTGGTAAATTGAACTCCCGTAACGCTATAACTATAGCTGTGGATTTTTCGAGCACATCACAAGTGATCGCAGTATCTTTCTTATGAATAAAGACATCTGCAATTAGGGGAATATAGGAGCAAGTTACATGTAACTAGTTCCTGGCAATTTCCGCCCGAATGGCAATAAATTCAACGTCAGAAGGATCAGGAAATTCAAACGAACAGGAAGGGGCTGCAGCAAATATGACAATCGCCAGTGCGATCTAAACGATCCTTTCTGTAAATCTGGAAAGAATTGTAAAAACGTTCCGACTAGTGTAAATCGTGCTTTAACCAGGTTTCAGTGAAAGCCAAACAAGAACCCCCCGCGCTCACTGAATTTAGGAAAGTGCAACGAATTTTTGGGCTTACCCCCTTAACATTTTGTGAATGAAAGTTACTAGGCCTGAAGAAACATTTAGTTTTTCGAGGATGGAAGAACTACCGTGTTAGTATAGATTGCTGGGACGATTCCGAGGAATGAATTCCTGTATTAAGGATCCAAATAACCACAATGGAAAAATGCCCATGTTTGCAATCAGACCTAACACCTTAAAAGACGAGGTAACTCTCTATCGAGATGAAGTCAGTTTAAAAATGCTAACACTGTTCAAACTGACGGATTGGACTTCTGCAGCAAGATAACTTATTATGTTATCCTCAGAGATGTCAATCATCAATCTTGCCACGAGTATTGCTTTCTGGAGGTTCTGCCGTGAAGCAGACATCATCCTAATGGACCGATAGGATTGACAGATAGGCAATATTGGGTTGGGGAAGAATAGAGGCAGTGGTTACACTTTCTGATGCAGCTTGAGCGACTTATCTAGCATGGTAACCAGCGAATACATCTGAAGAGATGCGAGGAGAGGCGGATTTACTATTTTTGTTAATACTCTTTGGAGATGTAGAAATTTTTCAAACTTTCCGCACAAAGTCACAAGATTTTTACTTAATTTATAAAAACTATTCATTGTCTCCGCGAAAAGCTTATAAAAAGCAATGTCCCGCGTCCTATAGTCAGTACATTACCAACGTTAGCTTTTCGAAAGATCTAGCATTGCGTCTGCAGCACAAACCGCAATGCCTGCGCACTGCATGACAATAACGCTCGCAAAGCCAACAAGTAATGAATCACTCAGAATCAGGGTCTGGTTTAATTGGACATGATGCAAATAAATACTGCATGTCACAAAGCAATAGACAAAACAGATTTTGTGAAGAAAGAATAAAACAAAAAAGTTTGTCGCATATTCAAAAATGTTCTCTTAAATTAGCACGCAAACTTCACGTTATTAAAAACAAAGAGAAAAAGTGTAAACGCCAGGCAGATGTTTGGAAGCACAAACACGCAAAAAACAAGAAGACAAGACACTTTTTGGCTAGAGCACCAAGTGCTGATCGCAAAAAGCAAAGGTATCAACACGAGAAGTTCAATATATTTCAATAAATGCAAACATTTTGACAATTATTTGAGCTTTAAAATCGTATAAAGAATTACAAAATTTCTACACAGAAACTGACAGACACGACCACAGGGCTCGCGCAGATTCGGCAAAAGTGGGACAAGCACTGCCAATTAAGACTATGGGCGCCAGTTTTTAAAAGCGGTAGAAACGCAAATGATTATTTCGGTCACTTTAATAAAGTTCAATACTTTATTAATATTGCGTTCCTCAAGTACTTTCAGTTAGTCCACAGCGTTAGACGTGCGAATATTTCAATATTGAAGAAGTTTTAACACACATAAAGCCTATCATTTCAGTATATAACATTTAAAACAAAGTACAACACCATCATTAAAAAAAAATTAAAAAGTGATGAATACTGCTTAACATTTAAGTGATAGACAGAGTTAATTATCAGTAGGTAATAGAAAAAAAATTCTCTAAGAATTTCCTACGGCCAGAATGAGACCATTGCAGCATCTTCAATATTTGCAACCCCAAAAAGTGCAGCACTAGCATGTTTTCTTTAGGCTGCCGGCTAACAAATCGCCAAATTGAGTTGTACATTCTTACATGTGGGGGATGCATCTATACAATGCAGTTTCTTTAGCGCTCCGTCAAAGAATCAAAGTGTAATCCTTGTAATAGGCTTAACATATTCGATATTAGTGTACATAAAATTTGAACTTACATCCTGGCTGTATTCCTCTAGATCTGATCGTACGATAAGGTTGACGAGCACCCGGATCAATTTTGCCATACATAGTTCGATCCATTTTTATTCAGTTCTATTCTAAACGATTATATTAAACTTTCTCACAACTTCGATCATATTTGTTTCTCATTTCGATGGTATTAATTTTTTTCAAATTTATTTAATTTTATGTATTTCGCATTCTTATCTAAAATGTCAAAAAGGCACTTTACACAATGTATGAAAAACGTTCGCAAATAAAGTTAAAATCATCGAGATAATGCGAAATAGTTTATTTTAATATTTTTTACTTACACACATATATATATATATATATATATATATATATATATATATTTTTTTTTTTTTTTAATTTAATAAAATGGAAAATATAAATAAAACTATTTTCAGTTACTTAACTGAAATAGAAATGACACCATTTTTACTACGATATGCATATATCTGTGTGTACGCTTTTGTCATCATCTAAATCAGCCGTTTTTGTATTTAATATTTTAATAAATTTTTTATTCGCTACAGCAGTATATGCGAGTGTAACAACTTTGTTAGTAAGTTTGCTTTATGCGCAAATAAGTATCGAAATCACTTAAACCAAAGCAACATTCCGCAACGATTTAGCTGTTTTCGCTTGTAACTTAGTCCGTCGTTTTGTTAACGGACTTTCAAGTTGACAAAATTACCAGAGGACCTTAAATTTGGGGGTACACACGCCAAACTTATCATAATATTTTCCACAGCCGTCCGCTAACCAAGAACATCTACGTAATTTTTCTTGAGTGACGGGTATCAAGAATTCGCCTTAATGCGAATATACATTGTTGATGAGACTTTTTTCACAGTTTCTCTAACGAGATGAGACATTTTTCATTCGCTGTACAATTAACCCGCCGAAGGTCGTATTATTAGCTTTCATGAATATGTGCATATGAGCGCATCCTGTTAGAATTTGTGCGCATTTTTATAGTTAACTTTTGTACAACATATAGGGTAAGTTTCCAATCTACAACAAATAATTGAAGCACAGGAAACGTGTGTCACGCAGGAAACGCTACAGCGGTCGTTTTATATTTTTCACTGTTTCCCGACATAGAACGCTAGACTCTGCAAGCGTGATGGACAAGGTTGCCGAAAATTAAAGTTCATTTCAGTCACTTTCAATTATGATATTCTGCTACTAGTCTACTAAACTTCGATTGTTATACTTACATTGCTGATCAACACACAAAGCTTAACAAACGTTAGAAGTCGGCAATGCACGATGGATTAAAGAAACAACAATAATTTTATTTGGACAAGTACGACAGCAGAGATTATAATAGTTTTATATGACGGTTCTCGTTTATCACAGCATTCATATATACATACCACAGATCAAGAAAATGATAACAAAGACTCAAAAACTCACTGAATTAAGCAAAAATTCAACGTTATTTTTAAATGACTTGAGGAAATCTATAAAGCATTTTACTCAAAATGTATTTTGTAGGTCGGAATAAATATATTTGTATTTGTATTTTACGATATACAAAATTAAGAGAACCTATAGACTTTAAGATTTTAAACCGTTTAAAATATAGTGTTCGATCTTCTTACTCATCTATTTATCGTCTTTATGAAACCAATAATAATTTTCATACTAAACTGGAACTTAGCACGTAAGATCTTAGTCGGCCGATACCGATAGAGTTCGAAATTAGGTAACATGTGCACATGAAAATGATTACGAAAGGTAACGTTCAGAAAATGGTGACTAAATTCATTACAAAAGCCATTCAGTAGAGATCCATAAAAGACAGCGTTCGTAGCCAAAGTGTTTTTGACAAATTAAAGCCTGCTTTGAAGTCTAAAGGCCCATTAAGCAAATAATTCAAAATCAATTTATCAAAGTACAACGAGAAACAACGTATTTGTTATAAAAATTGATTCAGAAGAGCTACGAAATCGTTAAAGACTTACATAGCATAGAGATGTCATTAACCTTAAAAGTCCGCGCGTAGAGTTAAGTTTGCTCTAAACACCCCAATGTAATGTAACTATTTTTGTAATATACGTACTCTTTTACTTATTATTCGTATCATTTAGCGATCGTGAAAAAGAAAGACACACGGACAAATCAAATCTGACTTTGCAGCGAAAGCTGACACATACATATAAATTCTTTATACGGTAGAGAATTCATCTACAAAGTTTTAAAAAGAAATAAGAAACATAGGAACATACCCACAGGCATGTAAGTTTTCACATTTATTCGAATTTAAAATTGCAAATCATTCAGCGGCAAATACGTCATTTGCAACGTAAAAGTTAAAAAAAAAATAAATGAATGATAATGTAAAGGAGAAGTTCTACACGACTTGAAGCGAATGGTTTACTCTTGTCGCCAATGTGCATTTAAAGAAGGACACCGTCTAGCTGATCGGTTATGAAGAATATGGGCAATATTTGCGATACTAAATTGGATGGCCAGAACGAATCCGAAGACATGAAAAACCTTCTATATGAAATTTGCAATCACTGTTCGAATCATCTGGGTGCTGAAATGCAAATATTAGCGCCTTAATGGCGACTAATTACTATATATATTATTTGGTCATGAACCGACTTAGTTCATTTATTTTTACTGAACTGAACAAAATCCAAAAGTTGAATATAAGTTTGTCATCAAATTAAAACACTACGTCAATTATCAATAATGACGGATTATCAAAGACGGAAAAGAAAGCCAAAATCACTCTACCGAACGATAAATCTCCAAAAACCACAATCGCTGACACAACTGTAAAGATTGCCGGTGGTGACAAACTAACGCCTAAAGGCAAATCTGCTGCAAAGTTGGCGAAAACGGGAGCTGGTAAAGGAAAATCTCCGGGAGGAGAAGGAGCTGGTGATGCTGATGACCTTGATGCCTGGATTAAGTCGCGTCAACTACTTAAACCGGACGATCAACTAGAGCTGACAGAAGCTGAACTTGGCGAAGAAATAACCAAAGTTCTAACGCCCACCAATACTAATCTGGTTCTCAATTTTGTAGTGTACAGTTTCAAGGAGGGCACTTTTGTTAAGATTCCACCCGCTGGTAATACGGTCACAATATTTCAATTGGCTGGCGAAGTAGGTGATCACCTAACACACTCACATTCACTACACATCCACTTACATCTAAAAATTTATAAAGATTCTATAGGGCAAAATCACTTTCATAAACCCCCCCATTTTAGCGAGCTAGTCAGATATCGTTAAGAGCCTTTTGAGTTGCTTAGCATGCTACAAAGCTGATCTAAAATCTTGAGAAAAATGATAGGAGAACGATTATGAACTTTAATCCTCTTAATAACGCTTCCAAATTGGATAAAATCACCGATTAGTTTATATTTTTGTGCATTAATTACGATCCTACCATAGACTACTACTATTGCGACGAAAGTTTGGAAACAAATCCAAATGAAACAAAGGAAGGTGGGAAGGACGTACTTTTTATAATTTTATTTTTATTTTAATCACTCTCCCTTGACATTTGAAAATGTTATTATTAGCGATTTGATTTCTTTTTTTTGTAATATAAATTACAAATTAAATTAATGAAAGCAATTTTATCTTTTTAGAATGACATCCTCTGAAATCCTTGATTTTTTTGTAGACATAATATTAATTCGATTTCATAATTGCGATTAATAATAAAAAATAAATAATAAAAGATGATAACATATGATTTCTGTTGCATATGTTAACTTACTTATTACCTAATCTTTTTATCCAGAATACTTAACACTGAAAGAAAGTTTCTAGTCAATATCTGCTGTAAATCTGAGATTATTATAAAAACAGTGTTAAAGTATTTAACCTTTTACAAGCTTATTTACTTCTTCAGATGAAGGCATTAGATCGTTTCGTCTTTTACGAAATGCAATAATAAACGCACGAAACGAGATAACTCAAATCGACTCGAAATCTTATGGCAGTGAATAATGTATTTGTTCAAAAACTTACGGTAATAAATGTAGTATTCATTACACAGAATAAAATCGAATGCTTCTTACTACTATGCGCTAGTTTCGAAAAATTTGCTTGAATTTTACGTCTTAATTCAAATGCCAGATTTGGCTAACAAAAGCGTTTATAAAACTCTTTTGACGTTAAAAGACAATTTTCCTTTTTTTTTTTAAATTTTGCACCTTTGAAATGAAAAACAAATAATTAATTTTGATGCGAGCATTGGAAACTTTACAGCAAACTCATCACTCTTTTCCTACCCAGCAATTAATTAAAAAAAAAAAAAAAAAACTAAGTTTACTTTTGGCAAGACTAAGAGGAAAAAAAAACAAAATTGCATGTACGTCTTTTGCCATGATTCTATAATTAAATGAAATTGTAATTATTTTTGGTTTAACATTTTTTCCTTTTTTTTTTTTTTTGCTTTTGAAATTGAATAAAAGCCAATTAACCTTGATTGGGGAAAATTTTAATGGAATATTTATACATCAATTCGTTTATTGAAACGAGAACCACATTGCAGCGCATGGTTTATTTTGAAGATTGTAATTGGGGTCTTTTTCCAGCTATCCTTTTTGTGTTTACGAATATGATCGAGTCTTACAGATTTAGAAATTAAAGGTCAGAAAATGCGACTGGTCAGCTTATAATAGATGCAAAACTGGAATTTCTTAAAAAAAGGGCGAAAGTTCTTTTAATATTCGCAAATAAGTTGCGAGTGTCAAATAACGATAAAGCTGACTCATGTGGACTCATTCATACTCTTGGAACTAGAAAAACTTCGATTTTAGGTGTCGAGTGAATACTTTATAATAAGCACCTATTCTCAAAGATATGCAAAATTCACTGGGTGGAAGGAATTGAAGCGATAATATATCACTAAAAGTAGAGTGATTATAAAAACGAAACTAAAAGGATTTATCACTAAGCGGGTTTTTGCACATGAAAGTACAATTCTTAAAGTGCACAACAAAATGTTTTTCATATTTTTTAAGAACAAAATGGAGACTTTCTCGAAACAATACCCGTTTTTTTTGCTTATCCCCTTTTACCATACAGCTACAAATTACAATTCTTCGGCTGGTACAACAAGTACGACACAAAACCCCAACAATTTTTATTCTTTCCATTCCAATTTTTTACATACATTTTGAAGAAAAGACGTAGGTAATTTCCGATTAGCATTATTGATTAATGAGAGATAGACTTGTTTTGGTCAGAAAGTAAATTTTTCTTGCCAGTTCACGATATTTCCCTATGAGCTTCTCTAGCTATGGACACGTGACTTAAGTGATTTTTTTTTTTATTTAAATTTACTTCAGTTACACATCGCGCTGCAACGTCACTTAAATTTAACAAATATTTTTTCTTGGGTTAAATAATACCTTAATGGTTAAGACGATAAAAAGGCGATTGTGGGAGTGGCAAAATTTTATATGTTAAAAAAAATTGATTTTTCGAACATATTGTACGGCTGTACACAGGCACTTGAGATTTCATACGCTTTTAGAGAAACGCGCAGCACGATTTTTGAAAGCGAAGAGCAGGATGGCTCGAGGGCTTGTCATACGAAATTTTTGCAGTACTTTTAAAATAACATTCTACGCTTTCCGATGAGTTATTTTAAGCAATTACTATTAATACAAGAGCCACGTTATTTTCGACGACAATTGCACTTGTTCATTCGGCAATTGCACAAAATCAACATTATTAACAGTTCCTGCCTTCTTCGCTATGTAGATTAGATAGTTTTCTTTCTTTAATTTAAATATGGACCAGTTACACAATTTGCAGTAAAACCGCTTGACCGAAAGTTGTCTGTCGAGAGTGGACACGGTATTGCCACTTTTTAATATTTTTCAAAAAAGAATTTTTCTAGTCTTTAAAAGTATGCTTAAATATGCTCTTCAAATATTGTTACTAGAATTAGGCCTCTCTCCGTAGAAAAAACTACTTTTTAAGGCTGTTAGAGAGATACCTCGTGAGAATGGCGCCTTTGTTACCATATTCTTATGTTTAAAGAAAAATTCTTTTTCATCTCTCGCATGTTGCTACTCCGTTACTTTTTCTTTCATCCAAAAAAGAAATCCTCAAATAAACGCTTTTTTTAAATTGTTATAATAATTTTTCCCCTTAAAGGAAAGTGTCAATAATTCACCACAAAATATGTTTTTCTTCCTCCGTCTCTACTTTATTTTAGTTCTCTATTAAACTAATCGAAGAATGTCTAAGTCAAGTATTACTTTATCCAATTTCTGACATTCCTTGAAGAATCCGAAATGTATATATTGGTAACTCTTTTATTAAATCTAAACTTGCCAACACATTTATTGACTACTTCTTTTAACATACATAGCATGCCGCTATTGGCGACTTCAATGGTACTTTTGCATTGTGTGGAAAATTCTTTTACCCATTAATTAAAAAAGAAATTTTTAGCCTGCCAACGATTTTCAATGGAAAAGCATATCAGCGGTTACTGAACTTTTTGTGGTCTGCATATGACAAATGTGTGGTTAATACACAATGATTTTCAAAGACTGCGGCCCTTTATTTCCACATATGAGTTAGCAAATGCATGTAACTTACAATGTCTCAAATAAAGGAACAGAAAGAAACGACGAATATTGAATAATTTAACTGACATAAAATGTTAAAAAAGAAAAAGTTTATTAAGACAATGTAACACGTAAACAGGTAAGCTAACGCATAATTTATGTGACGTAAACTACATAAACAAAGCAAAGTATGACAAAAACCACATTGTTGTAATAATTATGTAGAATTCTATTAAATACTTTTTGTTGCTTACGTTTAAGGGATGCTCTACATCTGTCTAGACGTTGTTGAGAAGCTACTAAAAACTTCTAGATAAATGACAAAGTGTCTATTTCTGCATGAACGGGCAGAGACATGCACAGCTATTCAGAGATTTTCTGCAGATCAGAAACAGAATATTATAGAAATTATATATTTGGTTGGGTATCCTATCCTTTTCTTCGCTTTGATATATTTTGTATAATTTTTCTTGTGTAGGGAACAGGGATCTTATTTCATTCTTCTCGAAGTCTATTTTTCAGACCTTGGACGAAAGGGATTGAGTTCTTGCAGACGCGGCGATCCAATTCATTGCTCATACTTTTGTTGGGATTCTTGCCTTGGGTGATTGTGGAAGAGGGTGAAGCACATTGAATTAAGCGGTACTTATGGTTAAGGCCGTTACCTAACCATATAACATGTCCACTAGTACAAAAACGTAATAGACACTCCGTCAAGGTCTGAAAAATTGACTACAAGAAGAGTGGAGTAAGACCCCTGTTTCTTAAAAAAGAAAAATTTTACAAAATATATCAAAACGTTTAAATAACGTTATTAAGCAAAAAGGATACCCGACCAAATATTACTTTTTAATAAAATGCTGTTTCTAGCTTTGTATTCTTCCTTATATGAAAATAACCATTAAAAACGTTACGTTTTCTGACGTCTTGAAGTTATTTGTTTTAAAATGTATTCTCTAGTAGTACAAAATAGTAAAAGAAGTTTTTATGTTTGGACAATGGACTAGGTTTAATAAGCGTTTATATTTTGTCGAGCGAAAAAAACTCAATATTATCGAGACTCACTGTAACTATAGATATTTTGCGAAACGCTTCAAAGTGGAGCTTACGAAAAATTTTAAGTGTTCTTTGATCTTAAAGTATTTATGAAAATTAAAAAAATTTGTTCGTTAAAAAACGGAGCTTGTTAATTGCGTGTAATAGTAACTGTATTTTGGACTTTACTCTGACAAACTTTATGACCGTCTTGAACGAGAACATTATCATCTTTGCTTTGGTTTAAAGATTACTGTTTCATCATGAAATATTTCAAGTTGTAGATTAATTTCACGAAAAATTTGTATGTCACAACAATCACAAAATCAAAAAAAAAAATATATATATATATATATATTCTTGAATGAAAAAAATGTATTATTAATGATTTTTTTGTTTTTCCAAAACCGGTTTAAGGTTATTTAAAAATATATGTTGATTTTTGTTGCTTATTCATGACGCACGCACATTTTTATATATGTATATGTATATTTATTTATAAACATACACACCACCGCAATTGATCAGAAATCTAATATATTTGCTTCGGTTTCCGATACCACACAGCAGGCCGACACCTCTGTCACAGTGTCAGTTGAAAAATTTACAAAATATTATGCAAATGCACTTCACAAACGGCAACAGAATTTATTTTCATTAATCAGCAACTATTGACAAATTATTTCTTGTTGATTTTCCCATTAAAAACACTTTGTAATCTTTGAAAAAATGATATAAGCGAGTGCAAATTTCTTAATAGATTCATGTAGACACGATGTCGCTATGCATTTAATATACACTGATACAGGCAAGAACGTCGTCACTAGATTGTATTACGTTTTTTTTTGTTTACATTCAGCATAGCTTTCTTTTCACATCTTAGCTATATTTTCATTTAATTGCTAACATTTGTGTTTAATCGACAACGATGAGTTCCTTACAAATTTGTTAAGTATTTGTCACCAAAGTTAGGTAAGCCGGCATAACACATTCAAGCGATTAACTTAAAATGTAAAGCCCAACTGAAGCAACCAATCTAACTGCCGGCTAAGCGATAGAAAAATAGAGATAATAGCAGGAAAAAATATAAATAAAAAAGAAAAAAAATAGAAACAAACACATCTACAGACAACACAAAAACAACCGCAACGTCTTAGCAAAACGAATGACGTCGTCTGCATGACAGAGAATATGTTAGAAAAATTGCTAGCAAGCTGACGCCGATACTGCTGCTACTGGCGCATTGGAAACATTGGCAGACTCACCCATTCATCAAACGAAATGAATAATAAAGTAGGAAAAAAAACAATAAAAACGTACAAAGGGAAAACAATCGAATTATTTCATTTCTTAATTTTTGACGTTACTCTAAGAGGCCACGGAATATAATATAAAGACCGTAAGCACCAAGCATCCGTACGTAGTTTTCCAAAAGGAAAACGCTTAAAGCTAAAAGAAAGAGAATCTCTAAGAGAATTCCTCTTAAGTGCGTCTTGCATTTAAAATCAATTTCTTGCACACCTTACAATATTACTGGGCTGGGTTAAAGAGAAATTTCCGTACTTTCTTTCCTAACAGTGTCAATATGGAAAAGAAGAAAAACTCGCATCAGTCGTTTCGCAATTACTTTTCCATTCATCCAATGTAAAAAGATGTATGTGCTAAGCACTAAACTATGATGAAAGAAATATCTGGATCAGCTTTAAAGACAAATGCTCGATTTTTAGACCCCCTATTGACGGTTATTCAAAAATGTCATAGTTTTATTCAAAAACTAATAATTTTTTTCAAGAGCTATAATACCTCTATACTTCTGTTCTGGTATTTATATACTTTACATATTTTTTTTTTTTTTAAATTTGATACAAATATTCAGAAAGAGGCCTAGATAGGCGATATTTGTTCAGATAATTGAACTAATCTAAATATGGGGTATCTAGGTATACACGAAAATAAATAAAAATTTTTACTTGTTGCAATCTAATTGGAGTTCTCCGATTATTATCAGTACGGTTGTGAATATTTTCTTTTCGTCATGACATATGATGGAATGAACGATAAAAATATATGCTCTGTAGAAATTACGAACTTTCCTTGCCTTATTAAGCAAACTGATATATTCAACAATAGAGGGTATTTAAGATTTTTCATTAGCTTGAATAGGTCAGAAGTGCACCTACTTTTTGAAATCTCCAATAAATATTTTTTGCTATTATGAGCAGAATAACAAGATAAGAATATTATTTATGATATTATGTTGATATATATTCCCACAAGTAAAAAAAGATTGCTTTCTTTCCAATACCGGAGTCCATTTCAAATCTGCGTATTTGATCAACGTAACCAATTTGATTAGCACCTGTACTGCGTTTATATGAACTTCAAACATTCCTGTAAGCTGAATGTGTTCATGGTTTATTAGGCGATGGTGGTGATGCTTTAGAAAAAAAATGAACAGGTAAATTATTATATCTGAACAAGGACGACCATTAAAAACTTCACCAACTACAATCGAAAGTTAAGAAGTTTATATTGAAGCTGTGTCCAAAACATACACCTATCTGGTCCAAATTTAAGCACGTTTATTTTTTAAATCGCTATATTGGACCTATTCCCGTCATAAAGTATTAAACGTTAGATCTTATTGTTCTGTAAATACTTAAAATTGTTTTAGGATTTTTTATAGGGGACGGCGCTCAACGAAAAGGGTACCTTCCCATCCAAATTTTCTACATTCATTTTATATATCGAGATGGTAAAAGTAATACTTCGAAGTAATAAGACATTTTGCGATGAATGGTCGTAAAAATGATCCTATTCAATTCATTTTCGAGAGGATTCAACTTTCATTAAAATTTCGCAAAAGTTATCACCTGCAAGTTGATTGAAAAAATAAATAGGTAAATTTCTGGGAGATAGTCGAACAGACGCACAAACAAAAGTATTTGCTTAAATTAATTCGGAAAATGATGTTGAACCGATTGTTATATTAAAACCCATTCTGAGCGTTGCAAACATCTGCACACTTTATGTAGGGTATAAAAACCTACTGGCACAAGTTGTGTAGCGTATAAAAACCCCAAAGTTTCGCATTTTAGAAAAACAAAATAATTTCTGGGACGTTAACGCTACAACAACATGTACATGCAAAAGTATGATATGCCTGCAAACTATGATCATATGAGAGACACACATGCCACTCAAACGCATAAAAAGCAAATAGCAATTGATCGCTTGGCTATTATTAAGAGATGATCCTTCCATTTATAAACATATTTACAAAAACACATATCCACGTATATATTAGCTGGACCTAACCTGTAAATCCAAGTAACTTTACATTGGATAATATAATCAGAGAAAGCCATGTCTTTACATCATAGTAAAAATGAGAAAAATCAATTCAAGAGGTTCAACGACTTCAAATGCAACGTTAATGGATAAGAGACTGAGTAATGCTTACAAATTATCTTAGTATGAAAGAGTATTCAATACATTTCCTTACAAATAAACACAATGCATGGCAATCTTAACACTAGTAATCCCGAGATGAATGCGCAACTAAGTAAAGTAGCGTCCGAGCCATAAGACGAATCAACACTTAACAGTTATGCGTGTTAAAAATTATTAATAAGAAAAATTAAAAAAATCAATCGTACATAAACAATACTTTTTTACGTCTTTGTTTGCTCCCCTCTTCTGCCTATGACTCTTTGTGGCGAGTTCATGACTGTGCGTGTACGCACATTGGATACCTTTTAAATAGATGATTGTTATCGAAAAAAAAAGGTTGAAAAAGTAATTTTGGTAAACAAACAAAATGGCTGCAAACAAAGAGTTTTCACTTCTTTGATATTTTTTGATTATTTCTAGATTATCTTTCTTGTCCATGCTATTCAGCAAGGAAAACGGTTTCTTCCTAATAATTTTTTCGACTTTCTTCGCATAGTAAACTATAATGAACAATTTTTCAGTTTCATATAAGTTAATAATTTTTCCTATGTTCATTTTCTCTTCAGCAATAGCAATCGTATCATTGATCCGCGGTTCGATATCGAACTTTTGCTAACACCACCGTGGCAAAGACACTCACCAAAATATAAAACGCAACAACGCAAGTGGTCTTACGTTAATTAAATGTACTATGACCAACCGAGACGATTCGCAGAACATTCAGCAAACGAAACGAGTCATCTCAATACGAAATGTTCGATAACCCGACAAATAAGTATTATGTGCTAAAAATCCTCTATTTTTATTCAGTTGTTGACTTTAGGTTTCAGTGGACGAAATGGTGTTGAGTACGTCCTGATAGTCGGACCTGTTCGATTATGACATGTTTTTCAGTTTGAGTGTGGTTTACTAACTTCTTATTTTATTCTATTCATAAAAAGAGAACAAAGCATCAAAAAACAGTGCAAAACAAACAAAAAATTGGAGAGTACCTGTAGGTGCTAAATTTTCGATTGCTTAAACTTTGTTGTAACAAAGGACCATTTTTAGGGGTGTATCAGGCCGACAAAAGATCAGCCGTAAGTGCTAAGATTTCGATAAATCTCGATAGACAGACGGATAGAGAGAAATCACCAAATTGAGTTTTACTGATCATATAGTCGCTTAGATGCATTTAAAGGTGCTACAAGCGATCGCGCCCAATCGACCACGATACTCCAAGGGGCACGGATAGCCACAAGAAGTATATTAGCTTTTACATTCAGCAAATTATGTATTTTAATTAAATAACAATATATAATAAAAAGGAATGAAAGATAAATTTTGCACTGACAGGTTAAAATTCGTTAGCACGGTATGTCTGCTTTTTATGATTAGTAAATAGCCATTCAAATGCATTAAGACCACTTTAAGAATATGACGCGCAACGCACGAAATCAACTCTAGTTAATTGAAGTATTATTGAAAAGAAATAGAAAGAAGACGAATGGTTTTGTGCATTACTTAAATAAATGGCATAACATTCTAAATAATTACTCACAACAAAAATAAACGAGTTCATCGCAGATTGTATCCAATCAATTATTTTCCTTACGGCTGCATACCAAATTTTTTGTGATCTTTCAAGAAAAAAAGCCGACTATTAAATTTTTATTTATTTAAGGAAACTGCTTCCTGCTACATTCTATTTCGAAAATATTCTGGCCTTTTCAATTTATTAAGTAGCAACCAACCGCACTATAGTATTATTTCCTACTTATAGAAATTCCGAAAATAACAATTTTTGTTGTTATTACAAATGAGAGAACAAGAACATGACATGGCATGACATGAATGACTCCAGTGGTTATGCGAAATCATTGCTGGTTAACTTACATGATTAAAATTCCCATTCAATGCAGTGCAATTCATCATAGGACGAATCTTGATATCAATCATTTCGTCAATGCGGAAATTGTCATTATTCTATTAACACATTTCGTCTCAATTGTTCATCACTAGTGAATAATCAATATTCCATATTATTTGTCAACATTATTGTTGATAAATTGTCTAGTTAAAAACTCTTGTAAGTACATTAAATTAAATATTCGAATTAAGTAAACGTTATTATATTACAGATATTGATTCTTATCCCCAGCAATTATAATTTCTGCTGTAACTGGCATAACTCATCTAAATTGTGCTTCGGTACATCGATATTTTGCAATGGCTTTTTATTAGCTGATAGTATATAAATAAAATGCAATGAAATATGCGTTAAAAGCAAGAAGATCTATAGCTTAGGGTATGCATCCTGCCTTTCTTGTTTTCTTGTTTTTCGTAGTAGTTAGCTTGCCCACAGTGGCTAAGTAAACTTCCGCTTATTCAGTTTCGTATTTGACATCGTCTAACAATTTTTTCGTGCGGACTTTTGGCTAATTAACATAATAAT